ACCCTATGACCCAGCAATTGCACTACTGGGTATTTACCCCAAAGATACAAAAGTAGGGATCCGAAGGGGTGCGTGCACCCCGATGTTTATAGCAGCAATGTCCACAATAGCCAAACTGTGGAAAGAGCCAAGATGTCCATCGACAGATGACTGGATAAAGAAGATGTGGTATATATATGCAGCCATCAAAAGGAATGAGATCTTGCCATTTGCAACGACGTGGATGGAACTGGAGGGTATTATGTTGAGTGAAATAAGTCAAACAGAGAAAGACATGTATCATATGATCTCACTGATAATGAGGAATTCTAAATTCATGTGGGTTTTGATAAGAGACTCTGTCTTACTGGTACACCATGACCAGACATTCAGAGTGTATGGTTTGAGAGGCTAGTTTGAAATTTTACGTGGTTCTCTTAAGCAGTTGGATAATAAGCTGAAATACCTTAGACTTCAGCCTTAAATTCCAGGGCAATCAGAATTTAAAGGAAAAAAAAGAAAGAAAACACATTATTTATGAACATTATCCAAATTTGTGTTCAAATATAAAAAAACTTTAAAATTTTCTTCTTGTTACATTTAATTTGAGTCCGTGTATTTAAAGAACTACAATACTAATTACTCATATCTCCTTTTGTTGATCCTTCATATTTGATATTTTTCTCAACAATTAAAAATGAGAAAAATCTTAGGGTGCCTGGGTGGCTCAGTCAGTTAGGTGTCCAAGTCTTGATCTCACCTCAGGTCTTGATCTTAGGGTCATGAGTTCAAGCCCCGCATTGGGCTCTATGCTGGGCATGGAGCCTACTTAAAAACAATGATAAAAGTCTTAATTTGGACTAATTTATATAACTCTACATACATACATAGGGTGGCAATGACAATTTTACGTTCTTTACCAAATAGGTTCCAGAACAGGGGAATGTGTTTTCTAGCAATGGTGATACTTATACTAGTTGATACCTTACAGAGAGCATGTACGAATATTTGCCTCCTTCTGTTAGAACCATGGGTTGTAAATTTCTCATTTTCTACTACATCTTATATGATATTTGTACTTTAAGGCTACAAAAATTAGAAATTAGATTCTGAACCTAAAATTTGCTGTTGGGCCACCTTTTCCTCCTACTAAAATCAATATGTTCACTGAAGATTCTCTTCAACAAGCTTTAGCTCCATGATATAATCTTGCACTGAAAATCTGGCTTCTTGTACATGTATGTGATTGGAGATATGCCAACCTTTTTATCAGTCAGTCCTTGAAACTGAGACTTAAGGGAGGAAAAAGAAAAAGATCCCAATAGTAAATTCTTCAAACTTACTAATATTTGAACATTTTGAACTTATAAAAATGACAATTTCATAGAGGCATGTGGTTCAACATGGTAGATTACATGGAAGATTCAAAATAAGGCAAACTTGGAGGAGATGCCATAATTCTTAGGAGGAAAAGTAAAGAGGAAGGTAAAAATAATGCTAATGGTCTTAAATATCTTCAGAGACAGCTTCCCCATTTTATAGAGAAAACTGAGGCTCAGGGACACAGAGAAACCTGTCCAAAGTAATATGGTTAATAAGTGGTTGAGGCAATCATCAAACCAGGTTGGCCTGATTTCAAAGCCATACTGGAGGATGTAAGACAGCTAAGAGGCTGGAAGTTGCATCACATAATACATCTTCGTAAACATTCCATTTGAGGTCTTCTCCAGTTCTGAAAGTATGTGAAGTTTCCCTTATATAAATAGTAATGTGCATGGTGGAAAATCTGATCTCACGTCAAGCACCTCCTAGAATCCTCTCAATCCTTAAAAAAATGGAGCAGTTACTTACATGCAACACTCATACGATGTTGTTTCAATGTCATGGCTGTCATCGTTAAGGTCATGTGGGCAACTGAGGTGTGACAGGGAGTTTCTTGGGCAATAACATAATTTAAGTGTATTGGTCTTCATGGACTTACGTACTGTACAAGTTTAATTGTGAGTCTGTGCTTTCTGTACAGTATTAAATTTATGAGAGTATGTGAGTTTCAGCTGGAAGAAAATCCCCAACTCCGCTAACCCCATCTTAATAATGTATTCATGAAACACCAACGAGTCTGATGCCATCACGACCACCACCTCCCAGGTGCATCTAGCTGAAACACTCAGCAGGTTTTGTTTTGTTTTTGTTTTTTTTCCCACTGACACCTTTCTATTTATCTGAACTCAATATCTTTAATCCTCTTCTCAGTAGCCTAAGGGATCAGTAAAATATGTCCACAGCAATCTCTTTTCTGCTTGTCTAAATGTTGTCTAAATAACAAGGGATTATTTTATAGCACTATCAGAAGCAATTTAATACTGGAAGATAAACTCATGAACTGTACTCCTGGATCTAGTCCATTTGTTTATAGCAAAATTTCAAGCATATTGAAGCAACTGCTTTTATTGGAACAATGCAGATATTTTTTTAAACAACCATAATTTACCATTTATTTATGTTTTTATTCATTCAAAATTATGTACCTAGTGTCTGCCATAAGCACCTACCAAGGTGCTGAGAATCCAGGGGTGAATAAGATATACAGGTTCTTTGCCTGATGGTAGTATATTAAAAAGTTGTGCCTGATAAGATATAGCTGTTACTTAGAGTTTATTTTAGGAGGTTAAGTCAAGAAAAGACAAGATGTGAGCTGGTGTATATTTTAACACAGATATTACATTCAACAATTGTTTATCGAGTGTTATCACTTATATGCTAACATGGGGCCCAGGTTAGATGCTCACAGCCTTTTCTTGGTGAAAACCGAAGAGGAAAAAGAGGCAATGAGGAGTGGAGGAGTATCTGCAGTGGAGAGAATCACATCTGTGATCTTGGTCAGATGTACCCTGAGACTGAAAGTACTATTCAATGAATTCCTACGTTGAGCCACATCCTTTATTCCATGTCTTTCTTTCATCTTATTTCTCTGTTTTTCCACTTTCCATTTGTTTATAGGAAGATGATTTAAAACTAATGACCTTTCAGCTACCAGTCATTCACAGACTTTCAAAGCTGGAAGACCCTCTCGGGCCCATCTAGTCTAGCACACCTCCCTTTATTGGAAGCTCACAGCCAGTTAGAGGCAGAGCTCCGACTAGAAGAAGAACCCCCAATTCAAGTCTCTTTTGCTCCCTCTTCTTTGGAAGTAAGTGATGGAACCCCCTAAAATAGAGCAAACAGGAGAGCCGCATGGAGCACTCAGCTCAAAGGGGGTCCTCTTAAGACTTTCTGAAGAGAAACCTTCCTGAGGCTTGGGAAAAGAAGCTTCTCCATCTAACGTCACACAGGTTCTTCTGTCATTAAAAGGTTATTTTTCTTTTCCCTGTCAGTCAGGAAAGATTGACAGAATCAGAAGGAATGAAAAGAGCTTCTGACACTTTGAGACCAGGAAGGGACTTTTTGTGCTCTTTCTTAGGGTTCTAAAGGCAAAACTAAGTTGGGTCTGCCAAAATAGATGAACCTGCCTGAACCTATGCTATGGTTGAATCTCTATGGCTGGGAGAATCTGATGTAGGTCTACAGTGTCTCTTATGTCTGACTCAGTCAAGATTGGACTTGTTTTTCTGTAGCCCATTGAGTAGATTTGATGGTTTGTGAGAGGTACAGTGTCAAGCATCTGCAGAACCAGCCAGTGAGCAGATTTTTCATGACAGTGTATATCACAAAGTAAATAGCGAAGCAGGTGCAGTAACTTACTAAGAGTTTGGATTTATGCCAACTTGTCCATTATCTCTTATCCAGCCCCTTTGACCAGTTAGAATCACGTGAGATTTGACTGGCCCAAGTCTATGAACATGAAATTTGTGAACCTTATGAGTCTCTCGGGGATGATATTTATGACATGGCTCCAGTAGTTAGAATTCCAGATGAGTGATAAAACTGAAGAAATATAGGGAAGGGGAACAAAGAGGAGAGGGCAGTAGAGAAGGACAGAGGGGAGGGGAGGAAGGCAGTAGAGAGTAGAGAAACTATGAAGCATTGACCCAGGTGCATGGTTTGACCCATAGGTACATGGTTTTCTTTATATTTCAACAGCCACATGCTATTTATAATTCTGATATCTGCAGACTCTTTAAAAAGAAGATTTGAAATTATTGAAAGAATGCATAAAGAAAAACATTGTGATTTCACTTAGCTTTTGTGTACTAAGTATTTTTATGATGAGAGATGTTAACTTGTAGTTCAAAAGAGTTTCTAGAAACGGCATTGCTCAAGGTAAAAGTTGACCATAAATTCTTTTTTTTAAACAGCTTTATTGAGATACAAGCTGGACAGTTTGATTAGTTTGGACATATACAAACACCTGGGATACCATCACCATAATCAAGGTAATGGACATAGCCAACACCTTTTGCCCCCCAGCCTTTTTTTTTTTTTTTTTTTTTAGTTTTAGTTGTTTGTGTGTGTTAAGAACACTTACATGAGATTTACCCTCTTAACATATTTTGAAGTACACAACACCATATTATTAACCAGAGGCACTCTGTTGCACAGCAGATCTCTAGAATTTATTCATCTAGCATAACTGAAAGTTTATATCCATTGAACAATAACCCCCCACCTTCCCCATTACTGGTAACCGTACTGTATTCTCTGCTTCATGAGTTTGACTTTTATAGATGTCTATATAAATAGAATAAACTCTTGAGAAGCTTCCAATACATTAAAAAGAACAGAGCACTCAATAGATAAACCCATGTTGAATAAAAAATGGATGGGTGGAATAGAATAAAATATAACAGGAAAGAATAAGCCGTTGGAACTTTTCCTTTCCTAATGCAGCAAATAACTCAGAAAGCAACCACAATTGATACAGTTTTAAATATTTAAATAAATAAAAATGGAAATGAATTAATAACAGATGACTTTGAACCTTATTGCACTCTTAGGAGCTGAAATTTACTGGAATCATTTTAAGAAGAGAAGAAACACTGAATCATCTTCCTAGAAAAAGGAATTTGGAGTGATAAAGCACCATGGATCTAACTTATATTCCTGAAGATTTATCCAGTTGTCCAAAATTTGGAAATAAATCTTGCCCTCCCATCAACCATTCTTTGCATGTCCGAGTGATAATGTATTCTATTATGACTGCAGCCATGTTTATCACCATCTTTGGAAACTTGGTTATATCACATTTCAAACAGCTTCACTCTCCCACAAATTTTCTGATTCTCTCCATGGCAACCACTGACTTTCTGGGGGGTTTTGTCATTATGCCATACAGCATGGTACGATCAGTGGAGAGCTGCTGGTATTTTGGGGATGGCTTTTGTAAATTCCATGCAAGCTTTGACATGATGCTAAGCCTAACCTCCATTTTCCATCTGTGTTCCATTGCTATTGATCGATTTTATGCCGTGGGTTACCCTTTAACTACTCAGCCACAATGACCACCTCCATGATAAAGCGACTGTTGGCATTTTGCTGGTCGGCCCCTGCTCTTTTTTCATTCAGTTTAGTTCTATCTGAGGCCAATGTTGCTGGTATGCACCGCTACGAGATTCTTGTTGCTTGTTTCCATTTCTGTGCACTTACTTTCAACAAATTTTGGGGGACGATATTGTTCACTACGTTTCTTTACTCCTGGCTCCATCATGGTTGGCATTTATGGCAAAATCTTTATTGTTTCCAAACAACATGCAAAAGTTATCAGCAATATGCCTGAGAACACAAAGGGCGAAGTGAAAAAAAAAAAAACTTATCTAAGAAAAAGGACAGAAAAGCAGCTAAGACCCTGGGTATAGTAATGGGGGTGTTTCTAGCTTGCTGGCTGCCTTGCTTTCTTGCTGTTTTGATAGACCCATATTTAGACTATTCCACTCCCATAATAGTACTTGATCTTTTAGTGTGGCTTGGGTACTTCAACTCTACTTGCAACCCCCTCATTCATGGTTTTTTTTATCCATGGTTTCGGAAAGCTCTTAAGTACGTAGTGTCAGGCAAAATATTTAGTTCTCACTCAGAAACTGCAAATCTGTTTCCTGAAGCACATTAATAAAAAAAAAAAACTGTTATAAAAGTGAAGAAAGTATTGAAAATGAGACATTATTTTGGCCCCATACCTCACATTAATTATTCTATTAAATTTCAGTAATCTTGATAAGTGTTTTGTAACCTGAATGTAACAAGAGTTACATTCAATATCTTTGACCAATCAATCAATCACTTATTAATTGTGAACTCTGTATCTAATCAACACTCCCATCTGATTGGGGGAAGATATACAAAAGAAATATAAAACATTTCAGAATAGGCTGGCCTCTATTTACACACATGAGACAATTATAAACCAATATAAGAATAAAGAAAATCAAGTGCTAATGGTTTGGGTTGTTGATTCCACTCTAGGAATTCAGAAAAAAAGATTATTGTGGGTAACCTGTGGACCCATGGGAGAAGTGTGACAGAAGTTTGGCCTTTACTATTAACTAGCAGTCTACTTTATTGTTTGGTGTTGGATAATTATTAACCCTCATTATATAAATTATTCAGTCATTTCCTGACACCCTGAAGCTTATTACAAAGAGCTGTCCATAGGAGAAGCAGTTGATTACAAATCATCATATGCAATTTGAGCTTTTATCCTTGTGATTTTTCACTTTGTGGTTTATATTTGGAATGACTTCCTGGTTCCTTGTCTCTACCTTTTTCCTCTGCAAGGTGTGTCTACACCATCGGCCAGCAATCACAAGGCCTCTCCCTGTACTTGCTTTAATCACTTTTTCTGAAAGTTGCCCTAAAGTCCTGACAAATAAATTTCATCCGCACCACAATGCCTATGATATAAGTCGGATCATGAATGTTTGGTGAAAATCCTTCCAGTGATTATTCTGTGAAACATTAAGAAACAAACAGAAACTTTCTTTTACCTGATAGATCGGAAAATACATGAGTACATGTAACAGCCGTGTCCACTTCCTCTCCTACCTGGGATTACGTTGTGGGAGGGAAAAGAGGAGGAGCAGAAGGGAGGCAGACTGCCCCTGAATCCAAGTCCAGCTTTAGGGCAAACTTTGGATAGGAAAACTTTGGATAGGAAAACTTAATTTTGGCTCTTTCTGACTCTCTTCTAAGCCCTTCTCTCACATTCCTTGACACACCATGTCCTAGATCCAGCTGTGGATAATTAGCCAGGCTCAACATGTGCCTTGAAGGACAATATGATTCCATAAGGATGACTCCTCTTCACCATCATCACAGTTTTCATCCCCTGTTCTTGTTGGTAGAAAAGCAAAGGTGCATAATAAATGCATAACTGAAGTACTTGCATGTCTACCAAAGGATATTTACTGATGCAGTCTAACTGCTGGTCTTGAGAAGAACATTTTAGGCTGTATCCAGGGAGACATAATTGGGTGTGAGTAGCACTGCTCAGCTCCTTCCTCCTGAGAGTCCCAAAAGATGGTGGACACCGCCACTTGGACCTCTCCCCTCACAGTTGAAGACCGGGGTGCCCAGCTGACTTGGTCAGTAGAGCATGTGACTCTTGATCTCAAGGTCCTGAGTTTGAACTCCACATTGAGTGTAAAGACCACTTAAAAAAAAAAAAAAACGTTATCACAGACCTTAAAACTGACTTGCCCCACTTCAGTAGTGACAGGCACTTACTATCCAGTGATTCTTGTAATACTTGGACTTCTTCTCAGTTCCTGCTTTTAAAAGTCTCATTTGAGGGCACCTGGGTGGCTCAGTCAGTTAAGCATCAGACTCTTGGTTTTGGCTCAGGTCACGATCTCAGGGTTGTGAGACTGAGCCCCACATTGGGCTCCGTGCTCAGCAAAGAGTCTGCTTGGGATTCTCTCCCTTTCTCTCCCTCTCCCTCTGCCCCTCTTCTTGCTCTCTCTCAAATAAATAAATAAAAGCTTGAAAAAAAAGTCTCATTTGTTTCTCTACTTCTGAACTATTTCTCTATTTTAAAAACATCATGACATGCATGTGTGTGCGTTAAGTTATTCATCACCCTTGTTATAGGTGGTAAGGCAGACTTTATTCAAGGGAGACTACTGCAGCATGATTTGTATAGTAGGGAAGATTGGACTCAAATCTGACTCCCACAAACTCCAGTGGGGATCTGTACCCAAAGAATAGTGTTTGGGGCAGTGGATGGAAAATTACTAAGAGGAAACACCAGGGCTAAAGGGAATTCTTGCTAGACTGACTCACCAGAATTTTTGCTGAAGGCAGGCCAGAATGATAAGATGCTGAAGCTGGTTAGCTATCAATGGTGGGAGATTTTTGCTGAACTGACTTAGCAGGATTCTTGCTCAAACTGGATTTTACAAAGGCAGAGAGGGAAGCCCAGGTTCACTTCTAGTTAAGCACAGGGATTAAAGGAGCCTGATTAGAGTTTGGTCAAAGGAGAGAGCCTTGGTCTTGTGTGTCCCGCCCCCCACTCCTGCCCTCCCATGCTTCTCATGGAAGCAGCATCAGGGGTTTCCCAAGGGGGAAGAGAGCACCATAGGGATGGCCAGCTTTTCAATATGTGGGACAATGGCATGTGGTTGTTAGACTGAGGACCATCTGTAGATATAAATCTAACTAAATAAAAATGGAATCATCGATTTGGATAGATTTAGTGAACCACCTGCATGAAATATATAGCTATAAGGCTATGGGAAAATTGTCTCTATTTACTGATGTAGATATTAAGTACTCAATAAAGGACATACATGGTCATCTGTAAATATGCCTCCCCTCTCATCCATGTTAAGTCATGTTCTTGCCTCAGGTCTCACAGCTTTCCAATCTACTCTGCACAGTTATCTGAAGTTAACAACTGCCCTCTTAAATATCTTCCATGATTTCTATGCTAGATTCCCTCTGTTTTCCCTAGCGGGGAGCACAGATTAGGATTAGAATTAAGGGGCTCCCTTGCCCTGGGTTGTCCAATGGCATATTACCAATGAGAAGCACTTGCAGGACGGGAGGAAGTTGAAAGAAAGGTATTTAATCCAGACAACCTCTCTGTCACATTACCCTGGGGGTTGGCTGAGTGTCTTCAGGAAAGGTCATATGGAGTCCCCCTCTCTAGAGCCATCCTCTCGAATGCCTGTAACCAGTGCCTTCCCAGGGCACTTTGGGCCCTGCAGGGTGGTGACGCTGTGTTATTGCTGCCCCTGGGTACTAGGTTGTTTCTTGCTAGTTTTCTTAATGCTGCCCACGTCTTTGTATATAGTCCCTTTATTAAACTCTCCTCAATCACCCAGGCTAACCGTGCCGTCTGTTTCCTGCTAGACACGTGGTGAATGTAGCTTTTCATTGTTCTGAGATAAAGTTTTGAAATTCTCGCCAAAGGCATCACGTCTGTCCATGCCCAACTTGGCCTTTCTTTGTATTTTCACATTTTTTCACATTTTAAATCATTCCTCTGTTTGCCCTACCTGGGGGCAACTCACCCTCTTCTTCCACTTGGTTTCTCCTGAGGGGAGAGGTATAACTGGAGAGGGGCAGGAAGGAATCATCTGCATGCTGGAAATATCCTATGACTCTTCTGGATTATGGCTGTACAAGTCTATATGTATTTAAAATCTCATAAGCTGTATGCTTGGTATTTGTGCATTTACTGGGTGTGTGTTGAACAACAATAAAAAAAATTTTAACAGTGTAAAACAGAAAAAAAAATAATGACACATTTTAAGTGGGAATCACAAAGCTATGGTGATAAATGCCCTAATATGCTAAATTCTCTTAAACACTACAAATACTGAAAATGACAAATATACAAAGATTACTTTAAACTGAACACAAACTATACTAATACTTTGGATTTCAATGACTGCATTTCTATAACAAATTCAGAGCCTTCATAAGTGTGAGTTATAAGGGTTTTTAAACCCTGCCTACAGCTAGATAAAGTTTTAGTTAATATGTTTGAATGACATAAAGAAAAATAAAACTTGTTTAAAAATCTTTTTAATTTTTTTAAAGGGAATGCATGCATATTAAAAATGCAAAAGGAACCAAGGTCTGTACACTAAAGAATAAATTTCCCTTTAGTCTTTGTCCTTTTGTCTTACAGACTCTTTCTTAGAGGCAATCACTTCCCTGCATATCTTTCTGGACATACACAGGCATCTCCACAATCTTATATGTATGCACATACTGTTCTCTCACACTTATTAAACAAAAATGGCAAAATACCTACACATGCTGTTCTGAACAATTGGTTGTTTCACTTAATATACATCTCAGGGGTTCATTCTATATCAGGAAAAAGTTTTGCCTAATTTTTCAAAAAGTCTGTAAAATATCCTTTTATTTGGAAATATCATAATTTATTTAACCTACTGTTTCTGATTTCTTCAGTAACAAGTCATGCTGCAGTAAATATCCATGCAAACACGTATACATTCATCACTGTATATCAGTAAATACCTTAGTTGTTTGCTTTTTGATATTTATTTTACTGCATTTCAATGATTGTGTTATATCACTCCTCCTCCTGTGATTGAGTATGGTGCATTGTTACCGATGCCTACCCGGAGGAACACAGAACAGAACACAGTGATAAACTAGAATTAAATCCTGTCCTCTAGAAATTTGAATCCTAGTGGGGGAAAAGAAAACATAAGGGCAGATGAACACGTATTTTGCAAAGCTTCTCAGGTATAATATATCTAACCTGAATCATTTAAATTTTGTGTTTAATTTAGATCTATTAGTTCTTTGGTGTATGAAGAAAATCCTGTTGAAAGTTCAAATGTGCAGTTCGTAAGTACCTGTTAATCTGGTTTGTCCCTTCCTTCCTTCCTTCCTTCCTTCCTTCCTTCCTTCCTGCTTGCCTTCCTTCCTGCCCTCCCTCCTCTCGTTCTTTCTTTTTTACTTTATTCTTTGATCTTTATTTTATTCTATATTACCTTATTCTTACTTCTTTTATTTTACTTTATTCTTATTTATACTTTATCCTATACTACTTTATTCATCTTGGGGGATGAGCAGCTAAGAGTGGTTCACTGGTAAATTAATGCCAAAGAAAGAAAAGATCTTCTAAGATCA